TCATTAATGTGTATATCAGATTTTACTGAAAACTGCTTTTGAAAACGTACATTTTCTGATGTTCGAGTAGTACATTTATTCACTTTAGTTCAGTAATAGAGGAGCTTTAAGCCACTTTTGCCCGTATCGTAACCCTAAAGAACAGTTCTTTTCATAGAACGTGTCATACAACATGAGGTTGGAAAGCATATGATTTAAATTCAAATAGAAATGTGTGATTTATTTCTGCACTTAATATCAAAAGAAAAAGCATCAAAGATACGATTAGGTAAAAAATGATGATCTTGTAAAACTGACACTTACTGTGAGAGGATGCAGTCTCTCATCAAAAATATCCAGGGATGTATTTGCATCTCTGCAAAGAAAAGTTCATCTAAGTCATTTATATCTTAGTTAAGTACCTGGTAAGGGTAGGGGACTATGGAGAAAGAGGCCTAACCTTCAACATATCAAACAGTTTTACAAATTCTTCTCCTTGATTTTGACCTTAAGACATCTCTTTGTTTAGTGCATCAAGTACTGTGAAGACTTTTCTAAGATAAGCAGGCTAAGTTCCTATAAGTAATGACACTTCATTATAGGCAATGCTAGTAAATCAGCAGTGCTAGGTATTCAAACTTAGAAGTGTAGTAAATGTGAATGAGATTTAGATTCTCCAAAGTTTTCTTTTCTTCAGTCCTCTATATTTTCATCATGCATTTGTGTTTCTGTTGTGTTAAAAAATGTAGCAGCTTTTGTATAGGAGACCAGTATTTTCGTTAAAGTATTATACTGTGTTCCTATAAAGCAATAGTTGGCTGTGGTCTCTGGACCTCTGGAGAACCCTCAGTAGCATTTTCAGGAGGCTCAAGACCTCAAACTTCTCTTACAATCATGAAGAATTTACTTATTTTTTGACTGTTGGTCACTTGTTATGCTTGTATAAAGGCAAAAGCAAAACTTGCAATTTCTTAATGTGAACCAAGCCTGTGGCACTAAGTTACATCAGAGGTCATGGTATTTTTCCCTGTCACTTACAGTTTGGTTTAAAAACCTTTTATAATTGCCCATGATAAAACAGCAAGGAATAATGTTGGTAAATCTTGGATCATCTTTTTGGTATTATGAAGAAATGAAAAGCTCACATAAAGCATTTCTGCATACTGAAGTATGTTCTCAGAAATTCACTTCGGATTTAGTTGTGAGTTTAACTGTCTTTTTATCATAGAACTCTACTTTTACATGAAACTAGATATATCAATAGAGAACATAGTGGGCCTCGAGGAAAGTGAAGAAATAGTTGTTGCCAATGTCAAATTCAAGCAGTGAATCTAAAACGTTGAGATTTATGCAAGATGTATACCTTCAAATCTGCCTATGACAGACTCTCAGTATCTGGAAGACTTTTTGCTAAGACTGGTGATGATAATAACGAAAGTGTTCTGGATGTTGTAAAAAAAATCTGAACTGGTAATTTCAAAGCTCACTGATGTATATTATGAATCATGTACCCATAAAAGAATTGCTCACTGTGAAAGACACACCAATAAGTGTTATTTTGTAGCAGTTTCAGAGACACAATGTAAAATTCCATTATACCTAACTTAAGAAACTAATCTTTGCAGTGTGTGATGTAAAGTAAAAGATTATCCATATGATCTGTATTTTAAAAACACATTTATATCAAAATATATACAATTATGTGATTGGTTATTCTTCTTATTGTTTCTTCCAAAGGAACTGCCGATGAATCAAGAAAAAGGTGAATTTAATTGTGTTCTATTCAGTCAAATGAGGACTTGTACATCAGTGTAAATAGAGATACATTTTTCAACCAATGTAGAAAGGGAACAGAAATGTAAGAGTTATAAAAGATAGTCATTTTTGTTATGTGTGTTAACAATGTGGTTTTTAATGGGAGTGATCTTGTCCAACAGTTGACATTGTTTGTTATCACAAGATGAGGGAGAAAGCGACTGGCATCTACTAGGCAGAGGACAGCAGTCCTGTAATACATCCTACACTGAGTAGGACAGCCCCCACAACAAACAGTACCTGGCTTAAAATGTCAGTAGATCCACGATCAAGAAATGCTGTTAACACCTCCCACCTGCACACACACAGGCACACACAAACACATATGCATTTAACTCTGTTTTAATTTCTAAACAGAACACATCAATATAATCTATGGAAGCAAATATCCTTTGTGATCTTTAAGAGAATATTTTTCAACAGACCTAATTACAATAACAAGAAACCTGAAATGACTTGCTTCCATCTATTACTAAAAGCACAGCACAACCTCTGATGTTTGCAGCCAGGGCCTGATAATATATAGGTATTCTGTAAATTAAGTTGAAGTATAAGGCAAGTTTTTAAGAGCTCACCTGTATTTTATGTGGTAATATACTGCCAACGTCATACTGTGGGAAGGAAAAAAAATATATGTTATAACCAAGATTATTGGTGAAATTGAAGACATGTTTTCAAGGAGAAACTTCCCATAGACTTGTCTTGCAGTTTCAGAGCAGTATCATATGGGCACTTGCCCCTGTTTCATTTAACTTGCTTATAGTAGACAGATGCCAAATGTTATGCAATGTGACATCAGGACATCTTCTTTTAACTATACATTATTACGTTTTTCTCTGTCATTTGTGTTTCTACCCGTATAACCTCTTTCCCTGGACAAATTCTATAAATGTTCCCAAATACTTAAAACTAAACCACATAATATTTGTTTAAAAAACTTTGAAGCCCGTGCATTTATTTCAGTTGACTTATTCATTATTCACCTGCCCATAATTTTCATTATTTCTCTGAAAGTTAATTAAAAAAATGCTGTAGAACAAAATGAAAATCATTCCTCCAGTACAAGAAAAAGTTTTGTAGTAAATACAAGTGGCCTCCAAACTGATAATAGTTCTTTTATGCTGAAAAGTCAGTGATAGTAATGCAGCCTACATCTGTACAGTACAATATTCATGGGAAATATTTCCAAATTAGTTTAAATAAAGAATAAATAGGCAGACACAACCCTTCAGATCATACATTTCTGTATCTCTAAATTATACATAGGTGCTGTTTATTAGGGTACAAAGGGATTCCCTTGAGTGAGTTATATGCTTTGATTTGCTCTCATTGTTTAAAAGGAAGCTTAACATCATCAAGGGAAGACAAAGCTGAATTTTAAAAGAAGTCCAGAATGTGTTTAAAATTTAAAGTCTGACATCATATGCATCAGGGATGCACATTTTTATAGTATTTCAAACAGTTTATCTCCAAATTGCGTTTAATCATAGACTGACCATCATACATTGAAAAGGTTCACCAAAACTTATTAGAAATTTCATCTAACAACCAACTGTTACAGATAAGGGAACCAAAGCTTGCCCAAAATCCCACCAAATAGTCAGAAGCAATTCTTTTCCTATATAGTATTCTCTGGATCAGTAGTTCCCAAACTTTCCTGCACACTGGAATCACCCAAGGAGCTTTACAGTGATCCTTAATTCCAACTTGGGACATTATGATTAAGTGGCACAGGGAACAATTCGGTACAAAGAGTGTTTGAGAAGTTCCCCCAGGTGATTCCACTATGCAACAATGTTTGTGAATGACTTAAAAGTTAAATGTCACAATCGTTGGGCATGCATTATGTACACTACTACATGTAAACTTCATCCTTCACCCCATAGATATGGGAAAGGGTACTGTAGGCAGGGAAAGAATAAAATAGGAAACTCCTTAGGTTTTATGGCTAATCCTAAATAGAAGGAGTTAAAACTCTCCTGGAAAAATTTCCCTTGGCAATAATGTGAAGGAAAAGGTAGTGAAAAACAAAAGAAAACAACAAAACAAAAAGGCAGCAAATGGCTTAGGGGCTTGCACCCAAAACCAGAGAAAGAGCTGACAAGCAGAGTACAAAGAAAGTCTTGTGCACAAAACCGAGGTAGCCTTCCTTTTGTACTTCCTATAGAATTCAGGGAAGCAGACTGGAAAGGAGGAGTGACTAACTCTCGGGGAAAACTTGTGTGTGTTCACACCTATGCACTAGCACACACACATACACATATGTGTTCACTCTAGGGTTAGCATATTATCCACTCTAGGAGCACTGTATCACTACAATACACACACACACATCTCGTTACTAACTCAAATGTAATGATGAATAAGGCACCTCTTAGTCAACCAGCTGTCCACCTTGGAGAAAAGGCCCTCTCAAGGACAAATAGAAGTTACACAAAGCCCTCAAAAGCAGTGACATAGGCTAGTGGACCTGGTCCAATACAAATAAATCCCTGGGAACCAAGAGGGCTATGGTAAGGTCTAGGCAGGGCAAGGTGTCCTTGGTACACAATAAAGGTATCCAGGAACAAAGGCCTATGGATCTTCCATGTTTCTCTTGTCAGGGTGGCTATTTTCTCCCTTTCTATTGAAACATGCTTTCAAAACTTTGTATCTTTAATTTGTTATTGTATTAGAGTTTATAATCCAGGTGAGCCACTCACCCCAGTGCAGTGGTGCTCACACAGCACATGAGGTGACACTGCATATGTATTATGGCAAACATTCAAATGCTGGTAACTGGGGTGTCAACAGAGGAAACAGCGATTCTTTTTTCCAAGAGTCATTTCTAAATTGTTAAACTGTAACTCATAGAGAACTATCTTTTCTAGAAATATCCAAATATAAAGCACCTGTTCTTTTTACATTTAACAGTGTCTTGCATCATACATGTTTAGTATAAAGAGGCACACTTTTCATGGGATTCTTTAGTTGCTAAAGAATCCCTTCTACCATGAGTGGATTAAAATAAAAATGGGAAAATCACAGTTAGGCCTTTACAATCAATATAGATGTTTTGCTCCAATATTTGAAAGTGGGAAAGGAAGAGAATAATCATATGGCTGAATTTACCCAACATGGCTGGAATGTTTTAGCAGTAGGGGACCTGTCACTCAGGCCTCTGCAGCATCCCTGTACTCACCATTGTACTATGTTTCTATGATTAGGCTTGCTGAGTGTGCTGTCATCCATCCATATTGAGGAGCAGGAGCTGTAGTTCCTCGTCAGCTGACAGTAGAAGAAAATGTCACAGTAAGTTAGACTCACAAATGTTGGGGCTGTTTCCTTGGTTAAAATGTCAAGTGACAAACCATGAAGGTATTTCTTACAGTGCATGAAAGGTCTGAGGGCAGTGTCATGCATATGGGTCTGCAAAATGTTACTGGGGGAGGCTGTTTCTTTTCAGGGGTGTTGGAGGAGTAGGTTGTAAAATATAGCCCTTATTATGCTACCTATTTTCAAATCTGACAAGCATTTAGTATACATCATTTTATAAATAGTATAAAAAGTTTAAAATAAGATTTTCGACTTTTAGCAAGAAAAACAGCTAAGATTTTCTATTTCTACTGTTAGTAACTAGAATAAAATGTAATGCCTTGCATAATATTGGCACAGTATTAACAGTATAGTACAACAAACAAAAGCTTAACACTTAATTCATTAACTAACACTAAGTGTGTTAATGTGATGAGACAAATATTTCACAGTCAAAGGACTGTGCCAGGGATGCTCAGTCACTAACAAGCCAGGGCGATAGGTCACCTGGACCTGTACCCTTACCAAGAATACACAAGTACTATTTGAAGATTCCCTCACATCTAAAATAGAGGACAAGAACAACTTTGAGAGCTGAACATTCAATTATTTTCTGGGAGGATTTCCATTACATAACTTTGTGGAAAGCCTCAGACACTCAAGATTACATTTAATTCTCTAAAGCTATCTGACACTTATGAGGACATATTTCTGCCTCATTCATGCTATTCGCTGCCTGAGAAGCTTTTTTCGGTGTTTATGTCCTACAGATTTGATCCCACCTACATTCTGGAATACATCTGCCAACAGCTGCATCATAAAACATTTCTCTGAAAGTGTTCCAGTGACAGTGTAAGAGATTGAGCATATTTAATATTTTCCTCAGCATGGGAAAGACCTTAAAGGCATGACCCATTTTGTATAAGTATATGAACATTCTGAGATGGTTAGACAATCTGTCTGGTGATATCAACAACACACAGCACATCTGGGTGAGTACAATTGGTCCACAGGTGAATTCAGATCAAGAATTTAAGAATGAAACTGTCCACGCCCCATTTTCCCATTTTTAAAGATAACTAGAATAGCAAAAAAATTCATAAACATTTCTAAGTGATGCTTAATCATAAAATTTAAAAGAAAAAAATTGTAAAACACTAAATGTCTATCATTCTGGCTTATGTATACCCCCTAGTACACACAATATATACTATCACAGACATTGTTTTTGACATACACTTATCTAATATGCAGTAATGTCAATCACTTAACCTTGAAAACAACTTCACTTATGAAATGGAAAACAATTATTCTTTGCTGTAAGTGAGTAGGAGTAGTCCATTACCATAACGATTCAAACAGATTCATGCATTCACACTTAACAACAAAGTTAGGAAAACAAAAATAATTACACTACCAAATCTGATCTTTTTGGCAATTACACAGCCTGCTGAACATCTGTGATAGAGGACCAAAGTGATACCTCTTTTGTCAAAAAATAAAAATGCAGAAGTCTGGAAACAATGAGGTATTCTCATTTAAGAACTGCAATAATAAAAATAAATTGCATTTTAAAAATTAATGTGACATTTACAAAGTCTATTCAAGCATCGTTTTTCTTCTTCTTTAGTTCACTTTGTCCAGCTCAGATTGTCCCAATTTTCTTCCTGTGCTGCCACACTAAAATATATTAATATGTTGAATTATTTAGGTTTCCCTTGACAAATCTCAAGCATTAGAGCTACCTGGAGATGCTCCTCCAACCTTCCTCGTAAGTATTTCAAGAACTTTCATCTATTTTTAGTTTTAAAAAGCCTATCCAGATGAGATGTCATGGCACATGTTTGTGTCTGTGTGTATTTTGTGTGCAAAAGTCAGCCAGAACCACGTAACAGTGTGCAACCAGAGAGACAGAAGACATGCAAACAAACTTACACAGTGGTCCAAGTAACCCTAAAAGTCTTAGATATCCAGACACTGAATTATCCTCTCAAAATAGTCTCTTTCTGGACAAACTCAAAACATTTTAAATATTCTTTTGGGCCATTTGCTCTCAACATAGATCTGGATGAAAGCCATCAACAGTAACCATGCCAGTACCTTAACATTGAACTGCCTTGAAATTTCTTCAACCAGATTAATTTAATTTCAGCCTTTGACAAAGCCTTTGGATATGAGCAAAATGCAAACTTATTTTCTGCAAATGTAACACACACACACACACACACACACACACACACACACACTTTACATTTCCTATTACTCTCCCACTAGCCAGTTTAAAACTGTTTTTTCTTTTCACTTTTTTCAGTTGTAATAAAAAATACACAGCTGGTATCTCTAGACCTTTCCAAATGATCTTACATGCCACTTATAAAGGCTTCTGAACCATATGGTCAGGTAGCAGCAGCACAGCAATAACCCCACCACCAGCACCAAACTCTGTGTTAGCTACTTTCTCTTCACTGGAAGAAATCATCTGACATCTACAAGTTAAAGGAATCCTTAATATATTGGAGATACATACTTTTAAGGGTCCAAGTTAGTACCTTTATATGTATTTAATTTAAGGGTCCAAGTTAATACCATTATATGTATTTAATTTAAATACATTTGGTTATTGCTTATACTAGACGTTTCTTTAAACCCTCTAGTGCTTACAGTCTAGAGACTTCTGAGGAGGTCAGTGAATCATGGGTGTGTGATACTGAATTAGTTCACTGAATGGTTTAGCATAGTTCTGTGTGGATAATTAGCATAGTTCTGGGTGTGAATGATGGGCTTAATGGAGAGAGAAGATGCACCTGGGTTTGGGTGGCACCAACCAAGAGGCTTATAGCCTGAATTAAATAAAAACTGAAAGGAGGAAGAAGTCTTGCTGCTTCTTACCTGCCATTCCATGCAGTGTATATCCGCTCTCAGGTTCCTCTGCCATGACTTCTTGCTTTGGAGCCAGATGACTGTGGACTAAAACTTCTACAAAATGTGAGCTAAAAGACACCTTACCTCCTTTAACTTGTGGGTGTTGAGTATTTTGTCCCAGCAATAAATAGGTAACTAAGACATACTTACACTTGAACTGCAAGTTTTAATTAAGTTAAAAATGGTGGATTGATTGAACATGCAGCTAGTTCAACTTGCTCCTGATATATTATTTGAACTAAAGGATAAAATAAATGTTACACATGAGACCTGGATCCAGAATGGACATCATTTTTGATGTGTGAAAACTGTAAGTTAAATACTGTTAACTCACATGGGAAAATATTAGGACACTCCGAGGCACAGAGCACCTTGGCATAAAATGTGAAGCAGAGGCCATGAAAAACCATAGGAAATGAATGTAGAGCCATTGTACACCTGTCCTCCATCTCTGCAGGTGCTATGCAGATATTATATTCTATAGACATTAAAACTTAGAGATATCAAGTACATCATGGCTGAGACCTAGACATTAGTGGACGAAACACTGTATGATGAACAGTTTCTGGAAAGCAGGCAGCTTTGATTGTATTCCTCAGGCAGAGGTTGAGGAGCTTTTTCTCTGATATCAGGCTGTCCAAGAGATTTGGCCCCCAGGTGTTGCCCAAAGCCCTGCAAAGGAAAACCTGATTTCACTGCCAAATTCTCACAGTGGAGCCCACTAGTTAAATGAAAGTTTTGCTCACATACAGTATTTCAGTCCAGGGAATGCCAGGGTCACCCATGTATTTCAGGGAATCCTCTGACAAGAGAGATCATTGTAACAGGAACAAAGGAATTTGTGGGAGTGCTAGAAATTCAGGAGCAAATTAGAAGTTTAAAAGTATTTAAATACCAGATTGAAAAAGTTCAATTCAAGGAATAACTAATATTTAATCAGAGCCAAAGGAAAAAGTAGAAAATGGAAAGAGGACGGACATTTGACATGAGTGAAGAAGTACGAGTATGAAAAACACAATATTTAAATAAACAAAGTATAAGAAAATCTAGAGAAAATATCAAGGACTTTTAAAGAAGAGGGAGTTTTCAGACTTTAAAGACCACCCCAAGGAGATGAAAAAGTCAATAACAAACCCTTGTGTTCTTTCAGCATCCCTAAGATAGAGAAGTCTTTAAAAGCTTCCAGAGGAGGGGAGTGGCTATAGCTGGTTATTTTTGAGGTATATAATATGGGGACAACAGAGTTAAGAGCAACACTAGAAATGAGAAGAGCTTTGTGAAAACTGGCATCAACCTGCAAATCTATGTTTTATTAAAAACTATATTTTCCTTTACAGGCTGGCTTCTTAAAATTATCCATTTGCCCTTTCATAGGAGAAAGTTTTCCAGTAGAACAGGGGAGCACAAGACAGAGGAAACAAAAGAATCTAGGACAGTGAGGACACTTGCAACAGAGCCCTATGGAAGACAGACTTCAAGGAGATATTCCAGGGAAAGTGAAGCAGCAGGCCTAAGGACAAGCCAGTCCCTCTAAGGTAGGAAAGCCTGTGAGGGCAGTCTCTGGGAGAAAACTGAAGCAAGGGTGTTTTAGAATGTGAACAATGTCCTGGCAGGCATGTGACTAATGTTACAGCATTGCGGGGATTGTTGTTAAGAAAACTGTCCCAGTAAGAATACAAGATTGACCTCCCTCAAAGATGAAGAACGTGAAAACAGAAAGAGCTCTGGGGTTCCTTATCCTACTTGGTTTTGTGAACTAATGCTCCTTAGGGATCATCCAGCAACAGTGCAGAGCTGTGTACATTTCAGAAATACTTTAGAGAAAGAATTAAATTATACAAAGGCAGAACAGTGTAACTGTTATTACATAACCTCGCAGTAAACAATAGTAATAAATGATAATTAGTTAGTTTAAAATATATGATCTAAATAAATATCAAAAACAAAAATAAAACTGTATTATGCATCTGAAGGAAATTGGGGAGAATAAAGTCATTGCGGAAAGAGGAAGCTAAACATTCACCTGTTATGATGGAAAAACAACGGACAATGCTAAAGACTGATGTGTTAAATAGTTTATTTTGATTTTTAAAAAGATTAAAAATTAAAGCCAAATATTTCATACAAACCTTTAACACTGTGCCCATATTACCACAATGGAACTTAAATATCAGAAACCCTTAAAAATGGAACTTACTAACTCAAAGACTTTGTGAAGTAAATTTAAAACATCTCAGGAAAATACAAAATACATTAAAAATGCAGAAAAGGAAGTCTATGGTCACAGACTGGCTCCTCATTGTATTTGTTTAGAAATCATGGCAGAAACAATCAGATTTACTCAATTTCTTATTATCTATTTACTTACATGCTTGAGATGGGTGTTGTTCCTCTGGTCATGCACTAAGAATAAGAAAAACAAATAAACCTACTTAAGCTATCATAATACAGAATGCCTTAGAAATGTACATTGAACTGGCTACAAAATATCTGATGGATTATAAATATACAGAATATACAAAATGAGTATTTTACTTTTAAAAGTAAATAATCTAGTGCTGGGGATATAGCTCAGTGGCACAGTGCCTGCCTGGGAAGCACAAGGTAGTGAGTTAGAACTGGGTTCCAAAATCAGCCAATTACCTGCCAAGACAAGTTTGATAGAGTGAAAACCAAATATTTATTTATACCTTCTGTTTACCCTAAAAAATGACAGACTGTCCTTACATGAAAGAAAATTGTAAAACTGGATCCTAGATGAACATTAGCTAATAGAAAAAAGTTAACTTATTACATGTCTCTCGTTTTACCAGACTTTCCTGTGTAAATACACAGTACTTTGTAATTGTATATTGCTTAACAGCTTAATTATAAATATCTGATAGTAGACGGCTCTATGAACAAGCTTCTGGTTAGGCACTCACTATTCTCTTTCTGCTCTAGAATTCATAATCTACTAAGTTAATGCGGATGTTACTAAAAATATTAGTGATTCTTTAGACAACTGTAAATTAATCCACCTGAAATATCGAGCTTGAAATGAATGTGCTAATCTAAGTGAACACCCTCTCAATAGCATACAAATTCATTTTGGCCTAATGAAGTACATAAAGCAAACACTCCCGAGTTACATGGGCCACTGCAGCATTTCCCATACTGTTTCCTCTCAAGCTAGACACCTGCATATTCCTTTCCCCTGAAGAGAGGAGTGCGGATCTGTTTGTTTTTTATCCCACACTCTACATGTGAGAGGCACATATATCTCCTGAAGAAATGGAAAAACACAGCAATGCTAACCAGAAATGACCAGCTCAAAAAGAAAATTGTACAGAAGTGGAAATATAGATAAGAATCCCCGTTTTTCTTTGTGCTGCATTTTTCCAAGTTTTACAGGGGCTTCATGCCTTAAATTCTTACCCTTGTAATCAACTGGAAAATTTTGTCATATATCAGACTTTTAACAACACAATAAAATGACAGCAGCAACAACAACAAAGGCAATTTATCCAAACATGAAGAAGAGAAGTTAGGTTGCACAAAGTCCCGCAAATCTGATTCTCACTCTGGAGTAAGCAGGACACAATGATTTACAGTAGTTGCACACATTGCCTTACCCTTAACGTCAGAGTATGTTTACACAGATTTTCTTCATAGGATCAAAACATTTTTGCTAACTCAAAATTTCTGAGAATGCCATAAATCCTAAATCTGGTGTGAGGTAGGCTCACTGGATTATAGCACTGTAACAGTGAGATCGAAGGGATGACTCAGTAGGACTCTCGTTGGCTATATCCACATATATACCTATCTGCATATCTGGATCTATGATTTTCAAAATATGATGTCAAGATTCTCTAAGTGTAAACTAAGTTTTATTATTTCTCCTTAAAACATTTCCTGTGGAAGAAGGGTAAAGGAACAAAATAATAGAGAAAAATAAGTTTAAATCCATGACCCCTTCCTTAATTATGTGGCCTGCTGTAGTGATAAAGAGGCAGCAAAATGTGTTAACAGAGAGTAGACAAGCTCTCAGTTTTAAAGTGACATTAAAAGAAAGTATATAATCAGATGTTAAAAGTAAAATGCACATTTAAAAAATTGAAAAACTGAATCCCATATGTAAGTTCTTGTAAATATTTGTATAATGTATCAACCATGTAAAATGACAATAGTTTTCAGCCTGATCATTGATGGGGAAATGTAGTCTTACCGTATGTGTGAGATTTGCTCAGGAAAATTGTGCCTATCTTTGGATCATCAGAAGGGTTTAATTTCGAAGCTCCTTCTACAGAGAAAAAGAAAAAAATGTCATGACTTGGTTCAGTAGAAATGTAGTTTTCAAAACAGCTTCCCAATACATTTAGGTCATGTTAACAGCATTGTAAAATGATTTAGTTATGAATGTGAATGAAATAAAATGAAGGCAACAGCATAAGGATTCTCCCAGAGAACTGTAAAGTTGTAGAGTCCCTTTTCACATACAGAATAAAACAGGCTATATCTTAGACTTATTATTCTAAAATTTTACCTAGATAATCTAATAGAGCTTTTCCATGAACCAAGTGCACTTTACGATGAATATATGGCCTACGATGGCCTTCTCTGCTGGTATTACTGGCACATTTCAGGAGCGGTTTTGAGTAACAAACACTTACTCTTGCATCATGGATGCACTGTTAGATACCAGTTCAATGTTTCAAATATTTAAAAACATCAAACGTTCTTTAGACCATGAATGACATGGCTAATTCTAGCTGCATTCAACAAGACAACTCATTTTGATAGCTGTGATGTTTGGAGACTATAAATGATGGAAGATCTAGGATTAAAATCCAAAGTGCTAATCTGTAATCACCTTCCTGAGAAAAACTGTTTTTTAAGAAACTTGTCTATGTACATAGATTTTTGATTCTTCTTTCTGCCCAGAAGTCCACCTTGGAACTAGATTGGGAAAGTCTTCTCTTTAGTAGATATTATAAAACAGAGTCTTAAACTTCAATAATACACAATTTGCTATTATAAAGGATAATAAAAGTCATTATGGCGTGTGCTGTGACTGTCCTCAAAAATCTCGGGCTACTTAACCAGTTTTGTAACAAACTGTACCAATATTAAAAAAAAAAAAAAAACTAGTGGTTAAGCAATATTTCCTTAAGCACATATTATTAATTATTCTACTTTAGAGTGTTTAGTGGTCCAGTCACACTCTTGTGTATATCCTTGGCCTTGCAAAATTCAAAACGGGCACTGATAGATTAAAAAAAATAATCAGTTTATTAGTGACTAGTGTCTAACTCAGCACTTCACAAGTTTACTTTCTTTTGAATACTGCTTTTGCCCTTCTGAGTACTATGGTTAGAATTTTGGATATATATAATATTGATCTTTCAGATTTAACAAGAATTTGAATAATTGATTTTAAAGGTACAATGACATCACTAGCAACTTACTAAAACCTTTCTTTATTCTTCATGGTAGTTCCTCAATCAAGTTTAGTAAAATAATTCTTATATAAGAACTCCTGAAGAATCCATGAATTTTAGCATATCATTTAGAAGATGAGACAATCTTAGTTATGTGGAAAAATAAAATCACTTTATGCACAAGGTGACAGGTACAGGCTTCCATGGCCATCTGTATTCTAAAGCTTCTGACAACTTTAGGACCACGTCCTACTAAAACACCAATATGTGCACATTTGAATTTCTCAATATAATTTGTAGAATTATTTTACTATTAGAAATAAATTATAGAAAGAGCTATATTAGGTATTGGCACCTTTGTAATGACAGATTTTGAATGTAGTCCAGCAAAACTAAGTATCAAAATCAGATTAATCAATTTAACCCGCCCCACTCTCTCTCTCTGTGTTTCTGTGTTTCTCTATTTCTCTGTCTCTGTCTCTGTCTCTGTCTCTGTCTCTGTCTCTGTCTCCAAGACTATGTATCTGAAGACAAAATTCAAGAAGTTTGGTATTTAAAATAAAGAGAATGTGCAAAAATAAAAGAAATGAGCCCAAGGGAAAGGCTTGCACCCTCTCTAGAGCAATAGAATAGGCATATGGCCCAGGGTTGGTCACTGCATTACAAGTCTCTTGAGTCCTCCCAACAACCAGAGGAGAAAGACACTAGGACTGTTATCTAGCTAACTGGCAGCTGCTGGTTGTGACCCCTGCCATCAGGAATAGTAAATGTTTGGCAGAAGAGATGGACAGAGGGAAGGAGAACTGACATGGGCTTTTGAGAAGGGTTACTTCCTGGGCCTAGTTGTACATGATCAACCTGTATGAACTACCTGGTTATGCAAGTCTATTTTGGAATAAATTTTCTTTAATTTGTAATTGTTAAGGGTGCTGGTTAATCAGCGGTACTGATGATCACACTCAAGGTGGGGACCTACAAGAGTCATTGACTCATTTAACAGATATCATGAACAGCAATTTATAAATGCCAAACTACTGTGTTTAAAAATTATCAACATACCCACCACCATTTGTTTTAGTTGCTTTGATTATGCATGTTTCAAAAGTAGCTCT